TGTCTGCTACCCAACCCACCACAGCCACCCCTCCACTTCACAACCATCCGTCCACAGTCCACCTGCCATGGCCTACCCTTCCACCGTAAACCCCATGACAGCCCCCTGTTCACTCCCTGCCATGGCCTGTGTTCACTCCCCCCATGGCCTGTGTCCACTCCCCCCAGGACCTGTGTCCACTCCCCCCCATGGCCTGTGTCCACTCCCCCCATGGCCATGCATCCACTCCCCACCATGGCCTGTGTCCACTCCCCTCATGGCCTGTGCCCACTCCCCCCCATGGCCTGTGTCCACTCCCCCCATGGCCTGTGTCCACTCCCCCCATGGCCATGTGTCCACTCTCCCCCATGGCCTGTGTCCACTCCTGCCATGGCCTGTGTCCACTCCCCCCATGGCCATGTTTCCACTTCCCAGTTGGCTAGGCTCAGCCTCACCTTCCCCGAAGTCTTCACCCCCTTCCACAGGCTGAAGTAGAGCAGGACGATGACCAGCACCAGGCAGGATGTGAGCTGCCAGCGGGGAGGGCCCAGGTCACCGATGCCGCGGCTCTCATGGAGGTGCAGCACGCTGCGCCTGGAGAGGGAGAAAGGTGGGGGGGCCTAGAAGAGCACTGCCTCCCCACCCAGAACTGTAACCATACAGCTGAGCTTGCCCAGAGACTGTCCTCCCCAGCTCCACATGGCAGACAGGACCCAGCCTGGCAGGGCCAGAGACCCCCTGCCCCCCTCTGAGAAGGGCCAGGCCCAGCAGTCCTAGCTGAGATGCAGGGTATATCCTCCAGGTGAGGGAGAGGGTGTGCTGGGAGCCCACAGAAGCCCAGCCCTGCCCCTCAGCACCCTGCATTTGGAACTGGGGAGGGAATGGGTGCCTTGGGTCTTTAAAGAAAGAGCTACAGAAACCAGAGGGAAGGTGTCAGCAAGGTGGTGGCCGCTGCTGCACACGAAAGGTCCAGGCCCTTTACAGGGCTGAGGCTGAGTGGACCTATAGTAACAGGTGTCTGCGCTGCTCTCCGAGGATGACAGTTGACAAGAGCTGTCCAGGTGTTGAGGAGGATTCTGTGGGAACAGACTCAGGATGAGTCTGCGCCAGGTTTGCTCAAGAACTTTCTGGTAGAGGGATCCGCCACCATAAAGACAGAGCATAAGGCCACACGGGAAGGGAACAGAATGGCCAGTAGAGCCCTCCCTGTGGGCCAGGCAGGGGTCTGAGACACTTTCCACACAGTATCTCATTAAATCCTGTGACAGCCTGCGGGAAAGGTGCCATTGTGTCCACCGTGCATCTGCCGCCTCCCCTCCCAGGCAGGACTGTGAGTCAAAGCTCAGCCAAAGGCTGTGCTGCTGCCCAGGCAGTGGAGGAGCCACACTGTGAAAAGGGCCGTCACCACGGGATTTGCGAGGTCCGAGCAGATCTTCCTGGCACCATGGGAGAATGCCGCAGACCGCAGCGTCCCAGAACCTTCACCAGCTGCAGGCACCTCGGGGTACGTTGGAGAAGTTTGGGTCTTCACACAGTCTTGGGACAGGAGAGGCTGTGACAGGCAGGGAGAGCCCAGCGCAGCACTCCTGCTCCGTCCCAAACCCGGCATGGCCCAGGTTGGCCTGCAGTGTCCGAACTGTCGTCACCATCTCTTCTTTACGGAGCGCAAGATACACGCTGAAGTGAAAGGAATCTCCTCACGCTGTCCGACAGCAGTGTGGGATCTGGGATAGGGAGCTGCTTGGTCAGGCAGAGGAGGGGGCCACTGGCAGCCTGCGGTGCCCTGCCTGCCCTCCTGGGGCCTGCCTTACCTGGGACCTGCCCTCCTGGGGCCTGCCCTCCTGGGGCCTGCCTCACCTGGGGCCTGCCCTCCTGGGGCCTGCCTCACCTGGGGCCTGCCCTCCTGGGGTCTGCCTCACCTGGGGCCTGCCCTCCTGGGGTCTGCCTCACCTGGGGCCTGCCCTCCTGGAACCTGCCCTTCCAGGGCCTGCTTTACCGGGGTCAGTAGAATTCCCCGTGTCTTTCTCTCCTCTTTCCCTCACCTCAGCCCTGGCTCTGTGTCTGCTGCCCATGCTCCCCCCTCACCTTGCCCTGGAGCCCCTGCCAGGCCTTATCACCTGGAACCTCTTTTCACCAATGAGAGAAATCTCCTTGGAACAAAACCATCTGCCCAGTGAGGCCACACATTGTGTGGGGCCCGGACCAACCCCTACATACAATCCAGCTATGTCTTGCACACACGGGCGTGGGTTACACACCTAACCCTTTTGCCTGGGAAAGGAGCACGGTGGCCCACAGGGGTCACAGCCCCCAGCTGAGAGGGTGCGGCTGGGAGAAAGCACGTGGATCTCCTCAGGACTGCTCATGAACTGCTTCTAGGATGCTGTACACACTGGTTTTACCTCAGACACTTCAGGCTGCTTTGAGAATTAGCCCCTCGTCTGTGCTGGCCAAGTCCCTTCCCCAAGACTAAAAAGTCCTCTTGTTTGAAGTTGTGTGAAATCCCACAGACACTCCAGAGGACAGGCCCTGCAGAAGCTGTCAGCCGGAGAGGAGCCGGCAGCACCGCACTGCGTGGGACAGCCACGCCAGTCACTGCAGGATGCCTCCGGGCACAGGGAAGGGCAGGTGCTTCCCAAGAGCAGGCGCACAGTAGGATGAGGACAGGACGTCTGAATAAGATGGTTTGGGGCTGAAAAGCAGACATTTCCAGAGTGCAAGTGGCCTGGAGGACCAAACAGGGATGGCCTGGGATGTCACCAGCCTCGGCAAAGATCTAACACTTCCACTTCCTGCAGCTTTCCTTCTCCAGGTGTGTTTATTGTCATGGTTCTTGGATCCGGATAAGGGAGCCTTTGAGGCGGGCCAGGCATGCACTGGGCTGCACCTACACTGTCACGTTGGATCCCCACTGCAGCTGTGTTGCCCATTTACAGCAAGGAACCCAGGAACTGAGAGGGTAAGAACACTATCCAACCTGGAGACAGCCAGCAGCAGAGCCAGGACCTGGACCCCAGCAGCCTAACTCTGAACCTGTGCTCTGCCTGGGGGGGGTGGGGGGGTGGGAGGGGATGGCTGCCATGGAAAGGAGGTGAGAGGCCTCCACTCTGGCCATGAGGGATTGTCATCATACCAACTAGAAAGCTGGACTAAGTACACCAAACGAGTATTTGCAGATGTGGGACTGGAGATGACAGCACCCCACTTCCCACCTGGAGGCACCTCCCCCCCTCCCCAATGAGCACAGCATGGGGTCTTGCTGGGTAGAGCTTAGGGAGTCTCAGGAGCTGACAGGCTCTCCACAGGAGCCCACTGACTCAGCCACAGGGTGAGACCCTGCAGGTCTCTGAGCCCAGGCAGGGCCGAGGCCCACTGAGCTCCCCAGCCACGGTAGGGGACTTGCCAATCACATGGAGAGCTCAGTAGACCCTGGAAGGGTCACTGCAGTAGAGGTGATAAACCATTCCCAAAGCAAAGGCTGCCCAGAAGCATTTCAACAAGTTTCAAAAGGAGAAAATTGTACCACCAGCAAATTAACTTCCTACCAGAGCAAATCCAACACTCATTACAGGAAGATTACAAAATTACTAGACAATAAGAAGCAAGAAAATGTGACCTACAGCCAGGAGAAAATCGATCCATAGCTTCCTCATACCAAATACAAAAAGCCACTCAAATGGGTAAAAGACTAAATGTGAGAGCTGAAATTATGGAACTCTTGGAAGAAAACACAGGCATAAATCTTCAAGACCTTAGGTTTGGCAATGGATTTTTTATAAAAAAAAAAAATCAATTTATTTAAACAAACAAAAAAAACCCAGTTCATTCATTTGGTTCTAACCCCCACCCCTACCTATAGCAGCACCAATCAGTTCTCCGTATCTATGAGCTTAGCTTGTTTTTGTTGAGTTTGGGCTATGAATTTTTTGATAGGGCACCAAAAGCACAAACAATAAAAGGAAAAAATAAATAACTGACTTTATCAAGATTAAAAACTTTTGTGCATTAAAGGACACTATCAACCTCCAAAAATATCTTGTGAATCAAAGATAGATCACAAGGCAGATCAGAGAACACTTTGAACTGAATGAAAATGAAAATACAACATATGGAATATTGCTAAAGCAGTCTCTTAGAGGCAAATTCGTAGCTTTAGATTTGTAGCTTTATAATTTATATTAGAAATTAGGTGAAGGCCTGCTCAGCCTTCCATCTGTGCTGAGGACTCATGCTAGCTTTGTCCCACAAAAACCCCAAGGGAACGGAACACGGGCACAAGACAAAGAAAGGGTCCTCTCACACCCCTGTGAGGCAGCAGGGGCGGGTGGCTGACCCCTGGGCTGCCATAGAGAGCTTGGCTCTGCGTCCTTCCCTTCCTGAGGCAGCCACAGCAACTGAGGAGTCATCGCACCCCGAGGAGCAGACCTCTTACTTACTCAAAGTACTCGGCGGCAGGCGTGGTCCTGAAGCTGTCGTTGAGGCTCGAGCCGTCACTGGTGTTGCCGAAGTAGGAGTCTGTGCAGTTGGGGCTGTTCCAGGTGTTGTTGCAGTGGGTCCAGGGCAGCTCCATGGTGAAAGAGGAGAAGAAGTAATGCAGCGCCCAGGCGATGATGACGTTGTAGAAGAAGCCAACGTAGAGCGAGATCAGGATGACCGTGAAGCCCACACCTAGGGTGGCGAGAGCACAGAGCCACCATCTACAGAATGCCCCTTCCCACCTTCCCTTACAGGAGACACTGCCACCTGTGCCAGCTGTTCGCCACCATCCTAATATCAGGCAACATCTTTAAATACACAGGGGAAGATAAGTGAAAGGGCAGATGCTGGACTTTATGCTGTGACCACAGAGAGGGGCTTCCCCCTTCCAAGACCATCTATGGCCATCTCTGTCCACTCAGAGACATTCAGAGTATCTCTGAGGGACATTCAAGATCTGAAAGGCCACCCAGGCTCATTGAAGGGTATCTAGAACCACATGGTATGCCTAGGGACATGAAGAGTCATCCAAGAACATGTAAGATCATCTAAGGCCACCCTGGTAGAACAGGTCATTACACACAGACATACAGGGTAACTAAGGGCCATCCACAGCTATCCACTGCCACTCACAGCCACTCAGGATCAAACAGGACCATCCAGGCTCACTTAAGGTCATCTAGGGCGGCCCTGGGTTCACTGAGCAATCCAACCCAGAGTTATCCAGCACCACGAGGCCATGCAAAACCATCAGAATCATCCACTACCACCCGTGGCCACCCAGGATCATCTAAGGGCACCCAGAGATACAAAACACCAACAAATGTCAACAAAGGCCACCCCAAACCACTCAGGATCACCCAGAAACCTTCTGGGCCACCCATGATAATAGGGTTATCAAAGGCCATCCAGGGGCACACAGGAATACTCAGTGATTTCCAGAGCCATGCAGGGACAGCGAGAGCCATCCAGAGTTACCAGTAGTCACTAAGGAACAACTCGATTCCTCCATGGCCACCCACAGCCACCCAGGCTCATCTAGGACAACTAAGACCACCCAGAACCACCAGGGCTCATCCAGGGCCACCCAGAGCCATCCAGGGGCATTCATGGCCACCCATCCAGGGGCATTCAAGACTACCCAGGGCAAACAAAGTCATAAGGGTTCATTCATAGCTACCTAGGGCCACCCAAGGGCACCCAGGGCCATGCATGACCATTCTAGGTGCCTCTTCTCTAAACATGAAAGTCTAGTGTTCTTGCACTGATTTGTTTATCTCATCAATGAGCACAGCCCTGTGCTGGTGCACAGATTCCCAGTCAATAGCTGACTTTCTGTGGTTTGCGATTCCCTCAATCCCAGGTTAGGAGACAGGTGACCAGGATCCGACCGAGATTCCACCCACAGGGGCCACATGGCAAATCCTCCAGTGGCCTCAGCTCAGCCCTCCACACGGATGAGTTTCCAAAACTGGACAAAAGCCAACATGAGCTGCTAGAGCAGTGGTTCTCAACCTTCCTAATGCCGTGACCCTTTAATACAGTTCCTCATGTTGTGGTGACCCCCAACCATAAAATTATTTTCGTTGCTACTTCATAACTGTAATTTTGCTACTGTTATGAATCGTAATGTAAATATCTGATATGCAGGATGTATTTAGGCGACCACCGTGAAAGGGTCGTTCGACCCCCAAAGGGGTCGTGACCCACAGGTTGAGAACCGCTGTGCTAGAGTGTGACAGTGAGGCTGGGACTCCGAGTGAGTTACCGAGGTGCACCATGTCTGCCAACTTCTCCTCCGGGTTCTGATACTTCTGGGATGTGGCCAAATGCACCCATCCGTGGTCTCAGCTTCTCTAGAATGGGATGCTGACAGTTATACTTCCTGTATCGACCCCAATTTGTTAGGATTTAGCAGCGCTTTGAAATCCTTGGATACTATTTATTGACATTTTATAAGCAGCAATATAACAAATCACTTCAGCAGCTTTCTTGGAGAAAACTCTTTTTGTGGCAGGAAAAAGCTGAACATCAGCTTCCACCTGCTGGCCCCCATCCCCGTGGGGCCACCGTCCTTTTCGCCTTCTGCAGGCCCTCACCCATGGGAGCTCCAGAAAGAGGCAGATTTACTTTGACTCAGTGCTAGACTCCCCGGAGGAGGTGGGAGCATAGAGCTGTGTCCTGTAAGAAACTATGACAGACAGACTTCAGACCGGAAGGACGTGCTTCTTGGAAACCCAGAGATACAAACTGGTCCCACTACAATCTGCGTCACAGCTGGAGGCATCCTTCTTCAGCACTTGCCCAGATGGTCACTGGGGATAGACACGCTTAATTTCCGACTGGGCGCTTGAATGCTCTATAAATACTGACCACAGCGAAAGCTCATTGCCCTGCGTGGCCGAGTGACATGTCAGCGCTGCCCAGCAGAGAACACGATTAACTCATTTGTGTCTTGTCTGTTAGCCTGGGTCCGCTGCCCTCGTTGGCACCGGCATTGGGCCAGTACACAGGCGCGGAAATGTCCAGGCTGACACCTGCAACTCTCAGTCATAGGTGCCCGGTGTCTTTAGGTACCTGCACATTTCTCCTCAGGGGAATCAATGATGGTGCCGGAGGCCAGTCTCAGGCAACTCATTTGAGCTTTGACTTGTGTGCAAGCTGCACAAGGGAACACCCAGCACCTTGCACCTGAACCCAGAGGTGTCCGAATCTTGCTCTGAAGTTCCACTTGAGGGTGGGCATGAATCATTTGGCCTCGGAAAATAATGCTAACGTTTTAAGATTCACCCAGCAGCCCATTAAGCAGGAATAACACACGGTGCCTGGAGGAGCTGTCACGCCCGGCCGGTCTCAGCATTTCCGCTGTGGGAGGGCGATTCCCCTATGGAGACGGACTGCAGCAGCTGTGCCATGTCCTCACTCCCACGGCTGATCAGTCTCTATCTGAGCACACACCCCGACCCACCCATGCGGCATCCTGGGAGGGACAATAGGGCTTCTATTTTCTTCAGAACATCAACTTTTCAAGAAACTCTAAGAAAATCCAAATCCTGGTCTTTTAATAGCCATTTCCCTAATGAACCCAGCTGTCTGCACCAGGCACCTTCTCCGGTCTCTTTGAGGAAATACCCCTGAATCCTGCGCCATCAGCTCCTGTTGGCCCCACGGGAAGTCAGACAGGATTTCATCCCACCCTGCCCCTGACTAGGTGACAGGGGCCAGTTACTCAAGCCCCCTAATCTCAGGGCCTACATCTCCAAGACACACAACACAGCGCATCCCCTCCCCAGGGCTCTCATGAGGATGGAGCGAGGGAACCGGGGAGGGTTAGTCACCGGGACTCAGCATGATGTATGTTTGCTTCATGGTGCCATGGCGTCTCAGTAGCAGCCTGGAAGGCTCAGTGAATAACTAGACAGTTAGATAGCTTATGGATAAATGATAGATAATAGGTGCTATGATAGGTAGGTAGGTAGATAGTCGAGCTGCTAAATTACTAAAGTCAGGTAGATTGAGGCATGAGAAAATAATTCTGTTCTTGTTTTAAGTAGCCTGGGAGCTTAAACCTTTGAACATCCAGTCCTGCATCAATGCCTGGATATACATCAAACTTCCCAATAACCCTGATTACCCCCAAAGGACTAGGGATAGGTGTCCAGGCCGTCTGCATCCACTATCCAGACCACCGGTCATCTAGAGGATTCCCAGCTCAGACCAACCTGGGGACTAAGAATGCAGCACTGATTCTTCTCAATTGTACTTTTTAATACAAGAACCTCAGTTTTTCTTTCTTCTTCAGAACACTCTAGCTATTGCCTAGTTGTGTTTCCAATTTGTAAGCCCTATGACCCTTGAATACATCTTTATCATTTATTTCTAGCCAGAGCCTCCTGATTTTATTTATGTTCAGATGACATTTCATAGATAGATAGACAGGTGTTATACATACATGATAAATAGGTAGGTAGGTAGATGATAGATGGTTGAGAGATAGATGAATGATATATAAATGATACGTAGATAAATGGACGAATAGATAGATTATAGCTAGATATGCGAATAGATTGATGGATGGATACATAGATTATAGCTAGGTAGCTGACATATGGACAGATAGACAGAGGTTTGATTTTAGGACCAAAATTCAAATGGTGTGTTCACATGCGTAGACATTTAGCAAAGCACTATGGACTGCACACGACTTGCATGGATTTGCTTTGAAAGCTCTAGAGCCGCAGCCTGGTCTGTGCCAAGCCAGGTGCAAGGATGTGTCCCTACCATTACCTTTGAGTACAGGGCAGATCTTCCAGACGCCGGCAGCTCCCTCCCTGTTGAACTGCCCGAGGGCCAGCTCCATGTAGAAGAGCGGCATCCCCGCAATGACCATGAAGAGCAGGTAGGGGACCAGGAAGGCGCCTGTGGGACAGGACAGCATGGTCACTGAGGGCCTCAGGGCTCAGCCATCTCCACCAACTACACCCGTCTTGGCCCTGACCACAGTCCCTGTCCCTGTTTGTCCTGAAGCTCCCTGCCTGGCCACCCTCCAAGGGAAGCCACAGGCTGGGTGGGTGAGTGTCCTCCATCCATGCCTAGCCCGCTGTCATCAGTGCTCCGAACCCCTCTAAAGCTCTCAAAGTAAGCGCGCCCCTACTGAACCCCCAGTGTCCCAGGTTATGGAGTCAACCCCCGAGAGCACAGAGATGAGGCCCTGCCCACACTGTGGCTCCTTCCCCACCTTTGGCCCCTCTTGCTCCTCTGTGGAATGTCTGACCCCTCTTGAGTTGTGACTCTTCTGGGATCTGTGGGCCACCTCTGACCTTGTGTGGGTTCTGTCATCATCCCAGCTCCCAGCATTTGAAACCCGCCTCGACCGGAGGCTACAGCCCCTCCAGGGAGGTGCCTTGTTCCTCTTGGAGCTGCATCCTGCCCCAAGCACAAAGTCCAGGGCCCCAGGCTCTGCTTCCTAAAGGCCTGCCTCAAACGAGAGGTGACTTTGCCAGGGCCCTCTTCCTGGGATGGGGAGGGAGGCAGGGAGACCCTGAAGCTCTGTCTGTCCTTGGGCAAGTTAATGCACTGCTGAGGCCTCGGTCTTCGCCTCTCGACCTGGGAAGAGTAATGCCAACCTACCCATAGGCATGCTGGAGGGCCCTCATGGGATCGTCTTCCCAGCCCTTCCTCTGTGCGGGGTGGTGTGGCCAGGGACTCAGAGAGGCCACTAGGGAAATGGAGCGCCAGGAGGGTGGGCATGACCTCCAACTTAACTGGTTTCTCAACTTGAATTTTTGGGGTGATCCTGCCCTGTACCTTAGTTTTCTGCCCGGAGTCCAAAGACAGTCATGGTTCTAGGACTGGTTGAGTTCAGGGTGAAGTGGGAGCAGGGGTAGGGGAAGGGCAGGGCATCTTCCACCACTCCAAGTTCAAGGGCCTCACTCCGTAAGACTGTGTTCAGTCACCCTTCTGTGGCCTTTTCTTTCCAAAGTGAAAAGCACCTTTGGAAACAGAAGGCAGGACGACAGTGCCTCCAATGGCTAACTCCTGCTTCCTCTCTCCTGGCCTCAGTATCCTCAACTACGAGGACCTGACATGGAGTGAGATTGCTCTGGACTCTGTTTCTATGTGTTTCTGTGACATACAGCTAGGGAGTCTGTGCCCGGCTAATGCTAAGTTACAACCCAGTGCCATGTTGCCAGAGTGCGCCCGTTGCCTAGGATCCAGCCGAGCCGGAGAGCACAGAGAAGACGGGCGGGCAGGGACTCACCCCCGCCGTTTTTGTAGCACAGGTAGGGAAACCGCCAGACGTTGGCCAGGTCCACTGCGAAGCCAATCACCGAGAGGAGGAAGTCTATCTTCTTGCTCCAGGTCTCCCGTTCCTGGGGCTCCACGGGGGTCTGTGGGGAGTTGACGAGGGTGGAATTGGTGAGCTGCACCCCATTCTGTTCCTTGACCAGGACAAGTTCCACCGCCTTCGGGCACAGGGCGTTGGGCTCCTTAGCCGGGGCCACCACGGAAGGCATCAGTCCCACTGGGCATTTGCTTCTACTCATGGGCAGACTGGATGGAATCTAGGATTCTGTGCTTCCTCCCTCTTGGTCTTCAGCCAGCATGAAAAATAAACACACATTGGAATGCAATGAGTTAGTAGCCAGAACTGCAGATGTACCCAGTGGCCAGAGCAGAGGTCCAAGGCATTTATAATCATTTCTTTGGTGCAGAACAAATACATTCCAAGCAGCCAGGGGTGAGGACGACAGGAGATGAGTTATTTCTCCTGGGGACTGGGGGAGACGAGCTGTGGGTACCTCAGAATAGACATCTGCTCTGCCCCCTTCCCCTGGCTCTCCTCTCTAGTCCAATGGAAGTGCAGGGCTTGTATAATCTCTAACTTTGCTTTTAACAATAATATAAGTGGTTACTCCTGCCATACCCCACATTGCAGGGAGAGATTTACAGTCTTTAAATAGCATTCAATAGTAAGACTTTACAAGAGTGCACACCTATTCTTTCCATCATAGCAAAATCACCCACAGCAATGAAAAGCTGCAATAATGATTATAACAGTTTCTCCAAGGAATGCCTACATGACCCACCCACGTACACCTGTGGCCCGGCGGCTCGCCAGCCCCACCTGGAAGAGACCGCATCATGTCAGCATTCACCTGAGGGACCATGAGCTACTACACTTAGCAACTTTACCAGGGAGCTCATTTCCAAGCCCTGGACAATGCCGTCGGGGGAACAGAAGAAATTCCACGGGGACAGCCGGGAGCAAGCTGGGCCCTTGGGGCCAAGAGCGGCTTCAACTTTGACTTTTGGCACTTGGATCCAGCAGCAACAGCTCACGCACAGGTGCGCTCACATCTGCTCGCTCACACGCGCACGCACACCGTGGTTGAAGCAGAAGCATAACAGGATGGAGTTTAATGGGAGTATTTTCCACGGTCTCCACGTTTGAACAAGAGCTCACAACTTAAGGTCTTTATGCACCACTCCTCTGTGGCCCCTTCCCCTCTGGTGACAAACCCAACAGCGCATTCCTGAGAGTAGGAAACACGGGCCAAGGGGCTGCGTCTGCTGGGAGGCAGGTGAGATTGGCCTGCCGTGCGTGCGGTGCAGGTGGAGGGGCTGGAGCTGTAGAGGTGGCAAATTCCCACCTTTTTGCTCTGACAAGGGCCCTTGCAGTCCAGTCTGGCCACCTGCCAGGGAAGCCCGCACCCAGCACTTGGGGTGAGCTGACCCACTCCTGGAGCAGTGGCCTCCGAGTCAGGTCTGCGTCAGGAAAGCAAAATGTGGTCTCGCAGAGGAGCACAGCTGGCTCATACATGGCTGTGGTTCGCTGGTCTGTCCCTGTCTGCGCCTGTAATTAGCCTGGAAGCACAGCTCCGAGCCCCTCCTCTCACCTTCAAAATCAAAGACAAAACCCTGCACGATGGAGCATTGGCTGCGAACATCACCCGGATCGGATCCGGGGCGCTCCGCCCAGTCGGATTCACCCTGCACCGCGTCTGGTTCAACAGGCAGGAGTCGGTCACAAACAGCTGGCGCCCTGGTGCCGGCGCCTCAGGGAAGCCGCCCCTTCCCGCTATCCCAGGAGCCGGCGCATCCCTGGAGCCGGGCCGGGGAACGG